TTTCCCCAACGACAGTTTTGTATTTTCGGACAGCGACTCTCCACTGCCAGCATCTCTCCACTCGGCAGCTCTCCACTGTCAAATGGCATCGATTATGCGTCAAAGCATAATTCAAACTGTCACTTCGCTTAACGTTGGCCATGAAATTCAATTGGCAATTGGCGATTGGCGATTGGAGACTGGCAGGAATGGCTAAATGCTGAACTCCGTGGTTAAAGGAGAAATTTTTGCACCGAAGGCCGCAGCCAAGTAAAAACAATTGAATTATGGGCCTGGCCAGGAGAATGTGCGTCACTTGGCCAAACTGCACTTGGGGGGGGGGGGGGAGTGGATAGAAATGGAGCGTCGGTCTGATAAATGGCCATCAAGAGGTGGTCGCCCAGCGAAATGGAGTGCAGCTGCCGGCCACACGGCGTATGCGCAATGTGAGAGCACTCGAAAGGACCAAAAGGACGAAAGGACTACCGCCCACTGCAACAATTGCAATATTTGGCAGCAAATTTTATTGCCCCACTCGGCCCGGCACAAAATATCGACTTCATTTATCAGGACCTCTGTGTGTGTGGCGGCCTGTCCTGCCAGCAAATTGGCAAACGAAACTGTTGCCCCCTCAAAAAAAAAGAAAAACCAGCAAAAAAGCCTGCACTTGGCACAATTACTTTGATTGCTAATCAACCGGAAATTGACCAGAACTATCAATAAGCATTACTCTTTGTCTCATTGTCACTTTTCAATCAATCATCACAGTGGGATTGTCAGTGCGGCAAACACAGATGACAGTTCATATTTTTGCAACTGTGTCTGTGTGTGGAAAATAAGGCGGAAAAAATCCAGGAAAAAGCCGGAAAAACGAAAAGGAAATGTATGTGGAAATAAGAGGAAAGCCCAGTGATATTTTCAATTTTATACTTGCATATTCCGATGCATCAAAGTTGCATTGAAAGACACTTCCTTTCCGGTGAAGGATTTTGGGATAAGTCGCTGGCAGCACTCATCGATCAACCTGTCACCTGCCGAATTGAAAAGGAAAAGGAAAAAGGCTCCGGATATGGGAGAAATTTTAATTTAATTTCACTCGAACAGAAAAGAAATGCGGATAAACATGCAAGTGCACTGCCAACTCAATTGAATTCAACATATTTCTCCACTTACTTCCTCTCCATTAATTTAACTCGGCATTTGCTATTTTTTTTTTCAGCCTGCTTAGCTATCAAATATCTGAAAATCCACATTTTTTAATTGATGAATCCATTAATTTATCACTGCATATCTTTGCCAATTAGCTGTGTTTATTGGCTCTTGAAAATGCACACGTCCAATTAGTCGATTAAATTACCAGTCGAACCTGCCATCAATCCCACTAAAAATCAGTCATGTTTTTTTTGTTTCACTTTTTTTTTCACCCCTTCTGAATAGCTGAGGAAAATCAGCAGCATTTTCCACCCGAATCGCTCATCATGAGTAATTAGCAGCAGCAGACGGTGTTTCACTATCCATCTATTTTCCTGACCCCAGCCTCATTGTAAATCAATCTGTCAGTTAATAACGAAGCAACCTTTCATTACCCCTTCGCAGATCCTGACTTTCTCCTCGCCGCCGTCGCACTTTCTTTCACTTTCTCTTTCTGCGGGGGCAATAAGCGTGTGCAAATAGAAAGGCGGACAAACAAACCCAATGGGCACTGCAAAAATAAAAGTGTTTGAAAAGTGTAATCTTAGAAAAAAATTTGCCTTAAAAATCCCAACCAAACTTAATTTAAAAAAAATTGAAAATTTGAAATTAATGGTCCCAAATTTATAGATAAGAAATCATTCACCACAGGAAAAAATATATATTATAAATTTGAATAAGTTTGCATTTTTAAACTAGTAAAAAATAAAATTAAAATATAATAAGAATATATAAACCTCAAATTTGAATGTATAAATCATAGAAATACAATTTTTTTAAATCTTAGTTTATTAAAATTATGTGAAAAGAGGAAAATTTTAAAATTAATAGATTAAAGATAAAACATGAAATACAATTTTTTAAAGACCCATCTTAGTTTATAAAAAATATGTGAAAAGAGGGCATTTTTAAAATTAATAGATTAAACATAAAACATCACCAAAAACATGAAAATAAATATAACAACATTTAGTTGACAATTTGAAATTTTTAAAATTATCCTAAAAATGGAATTTTGAATGTTTAAGAATGAGAAAAAAATATAAAGTTTTTGAACTTAAATGATAAAAATACCTAAATTCCAACATGAAGTTTAAAAAAATATATATCTTAATTTTTATAAAATAATATTTCACAGTGAAGTTTTCCAAAAAAAATATTTCTCAATTTTTAACCAATGCTAGCACATTTTTGAAATAATTCAGTAACATGATTAAATTTTAAAGTATTTAAAAAAATATTAAAAAAAGCAGGAGACTCAAAAGTAAAGCAATAAAGTATTCTTCTAACTCTAGCACAACAAATTCAATTATTTATTATTTTTTTAACCCTTTTTCGGCCAGTGTATTTGGTCTATATATACAGCATATCAGAAACGCGATGGCGGCTTAATTAAAAATTGTAAGTGGCAGTAAATTAATTATAACCGTTGCCCGCAAAGTGTTTGGCTTGCAGCACATGTGGGCGGTCGTCAGCGGGGGGCGTGGCCCAGCCACTACTTTGTGTGTGTGTGCGAGAGTATCTGTGTGTGAGTGGCGGGGCTTGGAGGGTAGGGCGGTAGATGTGCACTTCAAAGGGAACCGTTTTAATCAAATTTCGAAGAGTGGCACCGCTTGTGATGTGGGTGAAACCGAATAGAGGAAAACCCCCAGTCAGTGGTAGAGCAGAGGGGAAAGCGGTGTGGGAAAACTGTCGGAAAAGTCAGCTCTCATTACAATGAGATCTTTGCAAATTCTGGCCCCCGAAAGCAGCCGGAAAATTCGCTGGAAAGTAGACAGGATGTTGGGTCCCTTGTCCCAAAAGCGATCTGTGTATAGGTATATAACCCATGGTCCATGCGATGGCCCTCGAAATTGGAAATACGACAAATGAAAGAGGCCGTCAAGGAATGTCCTTTGATGGCGAATTTCTTTTGTCGCCCAATGGGAAGGAAGCAATTTCGAAATCACCCTGGAACGCCATGCTAAACTCCCGAGAAATTCAAATTGCTAAAGGTTAGCATTCTTCAAAGTTAAGAGTAGGTTTTATGGATGAGCTTAAGGGTAGGAGCCCTTTATTCTATTTTTGATTTGGGTAGGGTTATTAAAAAAAATTTTTTTAAATATACTTTAATATTTTTAAAGTAGGTTTTATGGAAGAGATTAAAGATAGCAGTCCTTTATTCTATTTTTTATTTAGGCAGGCTGCTTATACCAAATTTAAAAAATATATTATAATATATATATGACAATGAATTTTGCACAAAATCAATCATATCAGAAATATTTTGTAATAATAAAACTTAGCTTCAAAATTAAAGTACTATATAAAGTACTTCAAAAATACCTGCACATAAGTTTAAACTCCAAGGATTGGCTTTGCGTATATACCACCTTTATTTTGTTAGATAAACGTTTTTATATGAAATATCTTAACCTTAAAAATGTAAATATATTTTTTACAAGAGATAATAAATGTATTAAGACTATTATTTAAATTAAAAATTCCTAAACAAACTATTACTTTTCTGCGCATAAATATAAAATGCTTAGATGAAATATCTGAACCTTTATGAGTATTATGTTTGTTTTGCAAGAAAAAACTCCCATTTAAAATGGCCATATCCTTAATATATACAAGTTACACCTTTGCTATCTAATCGATACAACCACTATCCGAATTTGACCTCCTTTGGGCCCAAAAGAAAAAATACACTAAAAATGAACTGCTGGCCAACTTCATTAGGCGGTCGAAACATGAAGGCTAGTTCATTTCCCTCTCAAGGGTGGCCCGCAATCATAAAATGTTTTGATTCATTTGCAAGCTAAATTGAGGCAAAACATTTCAACTTTTCCTGGATCGCACCTGGCCCGAGGGCGGGTGGTGGAAAGGGGGCGTGGCAGCTTCCGCCGGTGAAGGTGAACTATCTGGCAGAGGTCCACAGGTCGGCGGTCGGTGCTTCATTTTCAGCCATTGAAGCGTGCCACCGATTGAAAATTTAATTTCCCGCCTATGGCGCTGAAATAAAAACAAAAACCTGAAACCAAACCGAATCAAAAAAAAATCTTTAGACGGAGGAAAAAGGTGAAAAGGAAGCTGTGCCCCCGGTTTAGACCAGGCCAATGTATTTCCGTTCATATTCCAGTCCCGGCAAGTGGATTTTGATTCGGATTCGGTTCCTGGAGTCGGATTTGGACTGGTTCTCCACCGCTTTATTTGCAATAATCCAAATTGCCATGGGTCGAATCGTCTGACTGTATTTCCTGTTTCGACTGCCTGATTTATTTATTGAACAGCCGAGCAGCTCGACAGATTTCCACTCGACTTCAGTCAGTCTGGGGAAAAAAAATGTGAAGGGGATTAAAAAGCAGGTGGAGATTTAAAGGTATGCCATAAAATTAAATTTCAAAATATATCTGAACTTGGTCTTAAAAATTGGTGGCTTAAGAAATCATAATCATTTTAAATTTAAAGTTAGTGAAACCAGTTAAGTTAAACATTTATTAATTACTAGGTAATGAAAATGATAAACTCAAACTCTGAACACGGCAATAAAAACATTTAGCTAGGAATTTTAGATACCCACTCTATCTTATTTGGTTTTCTCTGTGTAAAGTATTTGATCACTTATACCTGTACTTACCTGTCACATATATATTTTAGGAGAAATAATTTTAAAACAAACCCAAGGCAATATGTGGTCTCAAATATCAGTTATAGGTAATTTGTTCCTAACATCCCACATCCCTCATCCCAGAACGTTCTCATGTGGCATAGTGTAACTTAGACTCAAGATCACTTTGGATAATTGCGCTTCCTGCTAATACCCGTAATCCTTGTTTCCTTTGTAGGTCTCTCCAAACGACCGCTGGGCCCGCCGCATCGTAAAAGCAGTCTACCAAAGCATCAGGAGGTGAAGCGCCGCTTCCTGGAAATTTGTGATACGACCTTCTCGGAGGAGGTGAGGGCCGCCCTGCGCCTGCCGGCCTTCGACTCCTACGAGTGGGGCGACGCCGACGTCATCCACCTCATGCAGACCATGTTCGTCGAGCTGGGCTTCATCGAGAAGTTCAGCATCCCGGTGGACACGCTCCGCGAATGGCTCTACGAGGTCTACAAGCACTACAACGAGGTGCCCTTCCACAACTTTCGGCACTGCTTCTGCGTTGCCCAAATGGTGAGTTAGTTTTTTCAAATTTTTAAAGTTTTTTAAGAACCCTTTTGGTAAAATTTACCATTATAATAGTAAAGCCCACCCATGGAATAGTAAATTTCACCAAAGAAATAGTTACTCTCACGAGAACTAAATACACACTCGTCACTATTTTATAGTAGTTTTGCTAATAAATAGTAAGCCAAGCAACAAAAGAACACATAATAGTAGTAAGCTACATTTTATAAGAGTAACTATTTTGTACAGTTACATAACTATCCATATTGGTACATTTTACCAATAAAATCTTTTTGTGTGTGCAGGAATTTTGAATATTTCGAGTACCATACATTTTCAATATCTTACCTTTATCAACAATGAAAACTTACAAACTTATTCTATTTAATTTTGTTTAATATCCGAAAAGTTAAAGAACATTTTTTACTTTAAATTTCATATTATTTAGTTTCAAAAAATTACCATTAGTACATAATATTTATTTATGCATGAAATAACTTTCAAACTTACTCAATTTTATCTTATTTAATATAAATAAAAATACCGAAAGTACATAATATTGCTATATTTTGTCAATTGTTTTCAATATGATTTCCTGTTTAATATCTTTCTCATCATCATTTTTTTTATGACGCTGTGAGTGGTAAAAAAACCTATAATTATTAATTATATTATCCTTCAAATATATAAAGCTCCTTGAAAGTGGTTGATATTTCGTTTGGATATTTTATTTTACTAGAATTCCAAGTAGCTCGTATAAATTTTTAATTTAATAAATAACAATTTGAAACATTTCATTGCAAACAAAAGCCTGCTGGACATCCTTTTCATATTTTGCTTTCTGATTGATTGCTAAAAATACAATAGTTCTTCAACGTAAGTGGTCTTAAATTTCCCACAGAGGGCAGCTGTGCTCGTCTTTTGTGCTCATATGTGGATATTTTTTGCCAGCAAGTATAAATAGTTTGAAGTGAAATCGGATACAAGCTGTTGTTTTTCTTAATGGGCTCTCCTTGGACCACATAAGTTGTGATCTAATATTTTACCACAGTTCCCCCGGGCCAATTCATGTCGCACATTATTATTAATAAAATACTTGAGCGTGCCAGCTATACAAATAATATATGCATATAATAAAATATACAATATCTATAACGGACGTATGCTCACAATGAATGCAATGTTAATGTGTCTAAATGCCTGAGACTTGCAATCGATATAGTGTGGGCATTTTTCTAAGGCAGCACATGAGTATTTCTTTATATGAATATCTCTATGCTGTGTATGCTGTGTGTGTGTCGGTTGTGTGGGCGCGCACAATAAACGGCGCCCAGTTGTATGCAATGCAAAAATAAACTAAAGCGCCAAAGGGCAATCCACCCAAAACGCTCTCACACACACACAACTGCAAAACCGGTCTGAATGCCCCTGTGTGCGAATGTGGCTTAGAGCAGGACCTATTTTTAGCTGCCAAGATACGTCCAAGAAGCGAAAGATACAAAGAATTTGTTTCTTCCTCTTTTAAATAGCAACACATTGGCCATGGGGAAAAGCCATGGAAAAGACAGAGAAAGAAGGGGACCTACTGACTGGTCACTCACCCAGTATTGTCCAAAAAAAATGGTAGAATAAAAAGGGAATCCACCAAAAACCACCCACTGAGCACTTAGAACAGCGACCCACTTGGCTGCTCAAGTGCCAGCGGAACATTTTTTAACCTACATTTTTGGCAAATGAAAGTTCCGTGGTGTTGTTGCATCTTCTGCAGCGAGTTCTTTTCACTTTACTTTCCAAAATATACCCTACTAGCCATTATTTCTGGGTATAAGTCACGGTATACGAAAGTTGGAGAATGGTTTAGGTTTAAATTTAACATGATTTAAAGACTTGGTAAAATATTTAAATAATAAATTCCCCTTCTCTCCTTTTTATTAATTAATTATTTATTCCACTCTAGGATATTCCATTTTTCGTTACTTAACCCACTTAAGATCCATCTCTATTTGCATAAAGTTTTCCACAATTTTTCGTTGCTGTTCGTTTTGAGACCTCACACTTTTTGTGCCACATAAATATAAGCTGAAATAAATTAAAATGCATTGTCACTCCCAGCTTATTTCAATGGCAAACTTTGCCATAAAGAGCTGCACTTAGTCGAGTTCCACTGTAGCTCAACTTTCGAGAACTAACTAAGACAAAGATACATATAGCACGGAGTACAAAAAAAAAAGGAAAAATAACAAGAAAAACGAAACGAAAACTTTAATAAATTATTTTTCCAGGCAACAAAGGCTAACAGGTAAAGGGCGGTTGAAAGTGGGTGGGCGTGGCAACAATGGCAGGCTGCAAGTTGAAGTCAACAATATGCGAGGGGGGTGGTGAGGGTTCGGGGGAAAGTACGACAAAAGGACAGGAGAAAGTCAGATAGTCGAGGCATCAAGTATACGCACGGTTGCCCCATTGCAAAATTGCTGCCACAAGCGCAACTATGACAATCGCATTATTATTTTTGCCGTTGTTGCTGTTAAATATGTTTGCCATAAACCGCATTATGTGGCAGACAAAAAAAACAAAGCCATGGCCACAAATACAGACAGAAAAAAAACATAGGGGAGCGCCCATTGTCATCGTCCTCGTCATCGGTGTCCACGTCATTGCCATTCACCTGCCTTTCACCTGTGTGCACTATTTTTATGACAATTCCGCCCACGTAACTGTGTTGCTCTGCCCGAAGGACATTCGCGAAAAATAGCCCACAATCACTTTGGGCAAAGAAAATGTCCTAATTAACAGTCACTGTTTGGGATAGAACAAAAGTCACTATGTATTTGAAATGGTGTCTAAAAGTATGCAGTAAAAATAACTCTCCTTTCGGGGTGAATATATATTAGATTTCAGGACTTAAAATATATTGTTGCATACTTTTAGACACTTTTATAAGTGATTTAATTAACATTAATTACATTACATTATTAAATATCGTAACACATTTTAAAAGTAGTTTACAAATAAAGGTAAACGAAGATTTTTTCCTTTTTTTATCAGGCTATATATCTTTAAAACTTACACACACATAATTTGTCCAAATTGGTTTGGTTTTAAAAAATAACTCAATAATTTTTGAGCTGAATAACTATCAACTAATTTATAAATCAAAGACTATGTTTTTTAAAATTGTAATAGTTTAAAAAATTTGTTAGTTACATTTGCTTTTCCTTCTACCCACATATCACTTTTAAAACGACAAGCTTTTTAGTTTTAATACGATTATAATTGCTTTCCTTTCATAAAAAACCATCAATGAATGGTTTGAAATCGAAAAGCTGCAACTAATATTTTTATTCCCACAAGGACTAAAAATCTTTTGGTATTATTGGCTATGCAAAAATTCCCTTTTTAAATATGGCGCATGAGTCGATTGCAGAATATTCGTATTTCGACCTCCGGCTGGCGGATTTCTCCTTATATCCCCACACCACTCATTCCATTTTTATAGCTTTCCGGCAATCCATATGGGTTGTTGCGTATTTTACAATTCAATGGGGCCGCCCATTTGCATAGGCGGGTCATGTCCATCTGTACAGCAGCGGTGGATGAAGTAGGACCACTCTGACTTCTAACTACAAATATATATATATATTTTATTAAATAAATCTTATGGCAAATTGATATTTAAATATCTGAAAAACAATACTCCATCACTATTATATTTTAATATCATGCGCAATTCTATCTTTTATTTTGCCAAAACAAATACAAGGGTATAATTTACCAAATAACAATACCAAATTTTAATAAAGTTTTACTTACCCAAAGTTTTTGAATTTTTTTTAATGTCGACTTAAAAATACTATGTTATATATTCTAAAGAAACTTTAATAAAAAAAATTGCTTCACTTTCCTCATATTTAAAATTCAGCAAAACTATTTTTTTTTTAATATTTGAAAATATTTTAAAGGCTTAAGGATGTTTTCTTTATTTATTCTTTCAAAACCTCCCTAATATTTTGATAAAAATGTTGATTTTATTTATTAATCTGATAGTACTATTCATTTCACCGCGACTGTGCGTACTTGTTAGTGCACATAGTGCGTGTAATTGCCTCCGCTGGTGTGTGTGATTTGGCATGTGTGTGCGTGTGTGCGAGGACTCAAAAGCCGTTTGCAGGACATGACAGTCAAGCCGTTAAGCGGCTTTCGTTCAACCTACAAACAGGCGAAACAAAAACTGAGCATTACGGCAGAACGGCAAGAACGTAAATTTAAATTATTGAACGGAAGCCCCCCCCTCCCCCCAAATAGCCCCTTTCCATTTTTTTTTTTGTTGTACCCATTTTTCTCCGAGAATTTCCCCAGTTTCCCCAAACGGGGCGTGACCAAACACTTTGACTAATTTCCATTGGCTGCACTTTTCATCTAACGCTGCAGTTGATTTCCTTGGTGTATTTTTGTCCGCTGAAAAGTTTTCCAACAAGCAGAAAATGCACAAACAACTAACCACCCTTGAGAGTGGGTGTTTCGGGTTTGGGTATTCGGGGTATTTGGGATACGGAATTCGGGGGGTTAGTTGTCTGCGTCTGTTTGTTGACAATGAATTTAGATAAACTTGCGAAATTCGAAACGCAAATAGCATTTGCATTTGCATAAATTTATAGCGCCCGCTAGCTAAAACCATACCACCCCCCCCCCCCCCCCCCACCCAGTTTTCTCCCACAGAGACTGTGTTTTCACACCATATAATATAGGTATAGATATAGATATATATTAACGCCCTCTCTCTCTTTCTCAATTCCGATTCTGCCACCCTTTTCACTCGCACTTAATGCCAAAGTAAACGCAATGGCGGCGAAAGTTGTGCAACAACTTTTACGACCAGAGACCCCAAAGTCTCACCTCTTAGGAAACCACCCTTCCAGAACCACCCACTAACCCCCAGAACCACCCCCCTGCAACTTTAATGCAAAGAGCTGAGTAAAGTTTGCGCTGCTTTCTTTACTCCGAAGAGCTTCAATTGAACGCTGTTGAAATTCCTCGAGGGTCTCCGCCGCCTAGTCATCTTCATTTGCAGCCAACGATTTTGCAGGTCCAACAGGACAGTCAGCTCTATAATCCAGGGATACAACTAAGCTATACCTAGTACTCACCAGGGATATGAATACCAAAAGACTTTAATAATTTAACTGGGATATATCTTGCATTCCAAGTTGAACATGCAATTTTAAACCAAGTTAAAGAATTTAATTAGTTTGCTACATCTAGTTATAAATATAAAAGAAAGACACCTTTTTCGGGCGGTATAGGTCTGTAGCAAAAATGGTTGGACATATAAACCTAAAAACAAAAACCGAAATTCCGAATTAGTTCATAAGTGAACACCAAGAAATATTTCCAATATGACCACCACCAGAAATAGTTTTTAAAATATTTACCACGTTTAATAAAAACATTCGTTATATGTATAAATTAGCATCCTCATAAGTTTGGTAAACTAAACTTTGTTAAGCATTGCATAATTAGCTATTGTTATTATTATTTTATTAAAATGGTGTTAGTAATGCTGAGGTGTTGCTTTGAATACCTTACACTATAAGTAACAAGTATTAAAGCTATAAAAAGCGGATAAAGTGCGGGCAGAGAAGGGGGACTTGAGTTGGGGGAGGTCCTTTGACTGGTAATTGCAAAGGTTTCGCAGCAGACAAATTGAGTTGGCAAAAGGAAAGTGGAAAGTGTACGAGACGCGAAGGAACAAGGTTTATAGACGGCATATCGGATCGAATGGGTGGGAAATAGGTAAAATGAACCCAGGGGAAATGCAAGGCAGCTTAAAGTCTCAATTACCTTACCTTGACGGCTAAGTTTAAATGTTAAAATGCGAAGACTAATTGCCCACATCAAGATAAATGGTTAGATCGATGATGTTCAATCAGTAGACGAAGCTGTGCAACCTTTCAAGGGATAGAAAAATGGCAAATGTTTGAGGGGTTGGATAGTGAATCCAAAAGGGAAACTAAAAGTAGTTAGTCAGACCGGAGAAGAACAAAGTCATTAAAAATAGAAAACTGTCGACAAAAAATTAGGATTGTACAATGGTTTCGTGTCCTAAAAAATTATCTTAATTGTCTGACCATTGCTATGCGTATTCTTAGTGTTCCATAAAGCTTAAAAAACCTGATTGGCATGGAAAATATAATATATTTTAATAATTAAAATATATTAATATTTGTACAACTATGTCGGAATTCAAAGTAATTAAAAAAAACCTAATTGAAATGGAATGAATTTTAATATTTAAAATATATTTATATCTTTAAAACTATTTTGGTATTTAAAGTAATTTACCATAACATAAATTGTAAATGTACAACCTACAAAATGTTTGTTTATATGGGGTGCCACAGAATTCTCCGAAGGTTTTAATGACGGTTGGTTGGAAATTCGATTTTGAATTAGGCTTAAATTTCGGAATAAATAAAATCAATTTAAAATTTGCTCTGTTTTTGGGAACATTTTTTTTTTAAGCATACTATTTTGTAAGTTTTAAACCGTCCACTTGATTTTGAAACGGTTTTTGTGACACAAGGAATATTTGGTTCGACAAAATTCTGTGACATTCCCTGTATATTTCATTTACACCATTTATATTTTGCTATATTTTTAAAATTAAAAAAATCAAAAACTTATGTACGAATATATCTTTATCTTACAGATGTATGCCATAACGCGCCAGGCGAATCTGCTGAGCCGCCTGGGCGACCTGGAGTGTCTGATCCTGCTGGTGTCCTGCATCTGCCACGACCTCGACCATCCTGGCTACAACAATATCTACCAGATTAATGCCCGCACCGAGCTGGCACTCAGGTGGGTAATTCGATTGGGAAACCTGGAAAATTATATATAACATATCATTTGCAGATACAATGACATCTCACCGCTGGAGAACCACCATTGTTCGATAGCGTTCCGACTGCTGGAGCATCCCGAATGCAATATATTCAAGAACTTCAGCCGCGACACCTTCAAGTGAGTTCACCTCGATTTAAGGTCCTATTTGCCGGGGATTTGGTTTCTGTGACGGTGGGTCAATTAATTGCCGAGCATCCACTTTATGCGCGGCACGTACCAAATGGCATTGCATTAAACGCTCGCCCCATTGCCGTGGTAATTAACAGCTACCAGCTACCAGCTGCACTGCACTGCATCGCCCACTACCCATTGCCACCCCACTTGACCTCCAACCCCACACCCACTCACCCGCCGACCATCACACGCCCATTGTCCTGACCCAACCAGAAATCCATGCCAAGGCACGACTGCGAAATCCATCGATTTGGTATTTAAAGAGCGAGGAACAGAGGAATTCCGCTGAACAGGGCAAAGTTTAGACTGGGGGATACCTCTCTATAAAGCAAGTAAATGAGTAAAATAGCTAGTCATTATTGAAAAAATAAGAGCAGTTCGTTCTTAAATAAACATTTTAGGAACACCTTCCTAGGACTAGATCTTAAATCTTAAATAAACACTTCAATAACTGTTTCTCATATCTCTATCTTTAGTCTTAAATCAAAATAAATCAATAGTATGAAATAAATCATAGCTAGTCATCACTGAAAAAATAAGAGCAGTTCGTTCTTGAATAAACATTTCAAAAATATCTTCCTAGGATTTGATCTTTAAACGTAGATAAACATTTCAAGAACTCCTTTTCATATATATATCCTTAATTTTAAATCAAAATAAATAATAAGAAATAAATCATTGCTGGTAATCATTGAAAAAATAAGAGCAGTTCGTTCTTAAATAAGCATTTCAAGAATATCTTCCTAGAATTAGATCTTAACTCTTAGAACTTAGTTCTTAATAAAAAATAATAAGACTAGTGATTTATAAAAAAAGATCTTGATTTTGAAAGGTGTTCTTTAAATATTTATATATATTATAATATTCCTTCCAAAATCAAGATATTTTATTATGAATTACTAGTCTAAGTATTTTTATTTATTTTTGTATTACTCGACCAATATTTTCTATAACACTAGAATAAAATATATAATGAGTAATAATGAAAGTTATGAACATAATAGTTGAACAAATGTACCAATGAATGTGCTAATTAAGCAGGCCTCTTTCTTCTTTATATAAATATATTTTGCTAATTGAAGAAATTGTTTTATACCTTTGAAGGTAATACAATAATATTTAATTTCATGATTATTTAATAATTTTTAGGAACCTGCTTACTTATAAATACCCATATACCCCATCACACCAATATCCCTGGGTATAAAAATAAGTATCGCGGAAAAGCAACAAAGTTGAAACAGAAACAGCACAGTTCGCCACCGAATGTCCTTGCTGTTGTTGTTTTCCATGGTTTTCCTGGTTTTTCCTGGGTTTTTCCTGGGTTTTTCTGGGCTTCCTGCTTACAATATGCAGCCGGGAATGCAGTGCAATGAAGATTAAGCTGTAATTGGCCCGGACACGACATAATCCCAGTGTTCAGCTCGCTTATAACTTTACTTAATTCGAGAAAATTCGCCAATCGAGGGCAATTGAAAAATCCATCGAACAATTGCAAATGAGCAATCGATTTATTGTGTAATTAAAATAAATCTCCAATGGTTTCGCTTGTTAAAAAATGTCTGCAGAAAATGCATTAACATAAAAATAATATTACTGGACTATAACTATTTCCATTGCAATTAAATTTAGCAATTGCTAAAAGCTAATTAGTCATCATCATTATGAAAAACATATTAACAACCTCTTTGGATAAATATGAGTGATTTTGCAATTTTAAAAGAATCTTATTTCCCATATCATAAATAAAATATAATAATTTTTAAAGTCTGGAAAACAAGTGAAACCTTCTAAAGAAAAGAGTCTTTTTCGGGAAATACTAGATGGCTGGCTGTTTAATATATATTTTAAAAGCTAAAAATGTTCTTTGAGAAATATTGCAAAATAAAACCAGTTCTATTAACCCTAACTTGTGTTCCAAAAAATTTAGAATATGTACGATTATAGTTATTTTTAATTTCTTATATATAATTAATTGCCATATAAAGTCTTATGATTGCATTATGGCATTGGGATACAATTGATTACAATTTTTGTTTAATTTATTATAATTAATTTAGTTCTTTTTCGCCTGGTTTCCTATCACTTCTTGGCTAGATGTATAAATTACCACTTAGCTGTTTTCGATTAACTAATGAAAATGCTGAGGAAGAGCGTGAAGTTTGCTTTCCGCAGATTATACGTTTATATAATAAAGCTATTTGATGGCTTAGCGAAGCTTTTTCCGCGCTTAACTGACCTCCCGCAACTGGCTTTTCGCATTTTAAGCAGCGTTTACCCATTTTCCACGGCTTTTCTCGCAATTTCATTTATTCTTGGTACTTTTTTTTTCTAGCATTCATTGCATGCATTTTATATTGGAAAATATTCCACAAACACTAATTAAGTGGATTAGCCGGCGAAATGCTTTTCTCGACTTTGACTTGCGGATGTGCGTGGAAGTGGGGTTGGAAAATCATGAGGAAAACCGTGAGGAATGGTTAGTGGGGAAATGGAAAATAGGAGGCTGGGGCATCATCATTACCATTATCATCATCATCCCGATGACAAGAAACGCAATCAACGGAAAGTCGCGCCCTTGACAACGTAGCACAAATCCGATCCCTCCTAAAATTTTCCACCCCCCACCCATGAACTTTCCCAGCCAACATTTTCCTTTGGCAAGTTTGTGTGCATAAACTATTGGATACTTTTGGGAGTTTTTGATGGCAAAACTTGTCGGCAAATGCACACAATATGCCAGGCATCATCATCATCGCTGGGTTGGGAAAATTGGGTGGTGGAAAATGGGAAAATGTTGGCCCTTGCCAGCAATTCGAAGACAGTTGTCATTGCGATTATTAAGCACGATTATTACCAGTGAATTGAACGGCATGTGCATAAATTTTGGGCATTGTTCGTGCAATATCTGACTTAATAAGCAAATATGGTTATTTCATTTGACTTGGTAATGACAAGAGTTCAATGTGTATTAACTGGGAAATTCTGGAATGAAATGGAAATGGAATCCGACTACATAGTTAATATAGCTTTAAAAGACTACGCACTTTTCAAAGGTTTCAAAAATATATTTTTAAATAACTTTTACTTCTCTGGTATTCCAAATGCAATCAAAATTTAAGTTTAAAAACTAAAACTAGACCTTATAAATATTGAAAAATCATTCAATCTTATAAACAGACCTCTAAAAAACTATTGGCAAGGCATAACAAATGAGTAATACACCCTTTAAAGAATTGATTTCCCAAAACAAAACCATTTAATTTACTTTATATCTCTATTTGATATATTAAATTTATAAATAAATAAATTTTTCTAAACTGCAACAGTTTAGTTAAGAGCTTAAATGAACCGCAAACTCAATAGTCTCAATTGCATTGGTCTGGAAATTTCAAGAGTTAAATATATATAGCAATAATGTTAGCCAGTTATTTAATTGGCCCTAAATCTCTTACAGTTTTACGCAATTTCAAGTGCATTTTAGCTGGCAAATCCCCAATGGATAATTCCTATTTTTTGGTTAGTTTTTTCGTATGCTTCCTTTTCTATTTTTAAAAACCCCACTGTGATGAAACAGCAATTCTTTTATTTTTGTATTGCATATTGTTGGGCAGACTCTCCAATTGCTCGTTTATACATACATACTATATATGGCCAGACACTTCAATTTCGGCTATGTGTGGCACTAAAAAACCTGTTTTGCCGGGTTTCATTTCATTTGATTGCGGCCAAGCTCAAATTTCATCAAAAAAGCGCCACACTTGTTTGCATTTTCTGAAAAAATAGTGAAAAGGGTTGGCTGAAAAGTCGATAATGCCAATATTTAATTATAGAAAAGCAAGTAACAGCAGACAGATAAAAACAGAACAAACACAGATTTCCCGATTTTCTATTTGTTATTCCAAAAGTAAACAGCTTCGACTAAAAAAATGATCAACCCAAAGTTTCAACATTTGAAAACTATGCACCTTGCATTTATTTCTATTTTTTTAATGAAATATCTAAAATAACATTTGTTTTTTAATATATATATTTATTTTAACAAACAACTGAAAAATAACGTAATGTTTCAAGAAGAATAAATATTTAAAACATTTTTAAAAGAAAAATCGAAAATTTTAATTTAGCTTTCAGATTTCTTTGATTTATTTTTTTTCACAAGGGGCCGCCCACTCTCCACCACTCCTACCTTGATTTCAACAAAAAAAACAACTAAACTTTAAAAATGTGGATAGATTTCAAACAAAATATTTTAGTGAAAACTATCTTATTTTATCTTTTTATATTTTATGATTTATAAGCCGTACACATTTGAAAAGGTGTTTAACAAAGTAAAAGCCTTCATGATTATACATAAACATTTTCGTCACATTTGTTATCGCTTGAAAGTTTTCAAAATTTTCTATTCGATTTTGTATAACTTAATATATAACATATATGTAGATTTTAAAATTTAGATAGATTTCAAACAAAAAATGTTCTATTTATTAATTTTTCAACGGAAATTGTAATATTACATCTAATAATTTGTAAGGTGTACTCAATTGGAAAGATATTTACTAAAATAAACCCTTTATTTTTATACACAAAAACCTTCAGCAAATTTAGAAAGCCATGTCGTTGCACTGTTTTTAGTTTTTCAAGAAAAATTCTAGAATTTTTATAATTTAACTAATAAATTTTAAAACACTTATATTTGGAAAGGTATTTACTAAAGCCCGTTAAAAAGTTACTCATAGATCATAAAATGCAGAACACTTTCCAATAGATTGCGTATTATCTTAAGGCTTTTTTTTTAATTTATTAAAGAGCCATCTAGGCCTTATTATGACAATTAAAAGTGATACATAGATGGTCGATTGATTCCTTCACCAGATGCGGCACTTGTCGGCGGGATTCATCCGGCTGGTGGCCTTGCACTGGAAGGTGTCCCCGAACTCGGG